TGTACCGATGCACCTTGATGGTGTACCGATGCACACACGCTCCCAATTGTTTTATATAATGTTTTTCACACTATAACGGCTCTATTGACTTCACCAATGATCCCCAACGTTTAGAAGTGATTCAAGGTGTATTTAAACAAGCTTAGGAGCCATTGATCAATAACAAAAAATCAACAATTGTGAGAGAATCAAAGAGAAAGCGTTGAACTTATCGTTTGAGCATTTTCAAGCCTATTTTCATTCAATATTAATTTTTTCTTTCAAGAATACCCTTTGTACTCAAATGTATTATTTTTTAGTGTTCTTTCTTTATTCTAGAATTGTGCAAACATATTGCCTTGTGAGGTTTTTCTGTAAGTTTGCGAAATTTGTAATATTTTCTTTGGGAGAGAGTGTTCTCAAGAATTTGGGGTATAATTCTTGAGGGAGTTGTAAGGTTACTATTTGTCCCTAATAGAAAGAACAAATTAGTGAATTTGTTGGAAAAGCCTTAGTGTGGATAGCTAAGGTAGTGGACGTAGACTTTTGTTGAGAAAGTCGAACCACTATAAATCGCTGTGCAATTATTTTCTATTTTCTGCAATAGCTTCCACCAAAATATTTATTGCCAATTCACCCCCTCTTGGCTATTTCATTAATCGATTAACTCAACACTATGAAACTATAAAATTTTATCTAATCTATAATATAAAGAATAAATAATATTATAAATAAAATAAAAAAGGAATATATTCATTGACAAAATAAAAAAATGATAATATGTGTGTATAGATGTAGAGGCGTAGAAAAATAAATAATTGATAGGCATGGTTGCATAATTTGAGACCATATCATTTCAAATAAATAAATAAACAATATTATAAATAAAATAAATAAAAGGAATATATTTCTTGATAGTGTGTGTGTAAGAGACAAAGCACTAAAGAAAATAATTGAGGGCACTAAAATTGATAGGCACAATTTCATTCACATAAGGTCTAAAACCTTCCTGCTGTAATAGAGTTTCATGTTTACTGAGTTGTGGGAGTACTTCTCATCTTTGCTCTAAGAGCGTTTGTTCATTGGGGTTCAACCAAAGAAACAATTTCTATGGTGGTGGATTTTCTTTGAAGATCTTTCGATTAGTCTACTTAGTAGGAAATGTGCTCTGTAGTGGAATGACTTGTAGATTTTTTTTTCTGCAAGTATTTTATTTTATTATTATTTTGTTTATTACTAAATTCAAATATTAAACTTATCTTAAAAGTTGAATTTATGATTGTTATATGATTGTTATGAAATAATTATTTTAAATATTTAATTAATAATCAGTTACATTCATATTTTGTTATATAAATATTTTTTTTATTTTTTATTATTTTATTGTTAGTTTTAAGTTTTATAAATATTTTTTTTGAATACTTTATTAGCTTATTTAATTATATGCAGCTATAAGAAAAATGCCATGTTCAAAAAGTAAACAAGGTGAAGCTCGTAGTGATAATTGCGGTTGGAGGTGGGGAGAACCTATTGAAGGTAATCACAATAATGTCAAATGAAAATTCTGTGAAAAAATTATCAAATGAGGAATATCAAGATTGAAAGAGCATTTGGCTACAAAAAAAGGAAATTTAGCACCTTGTCAAAATGTCTCGGCTAAAGTTAGGAAAAACATTGCTCAACAACTTAAGGAATATCATAATGAAAAAACTGAAGAGAAAAGAAGAATTGGAGGAAAGAATAAGATTAGGAGATCATGAAAACTATGGTAATAGTGATTCGGATGACGAGGAGTTAGCTATTGCAAGACCAGAAAGTATAAGATCCAAATTGAATGCAAGAAAGACAACGCCGAAGACCAAGAACTGGTCAAGATTCAGTTTATGAACCTGGGGGAGGTAGTACTACTGAGAATCAAGACTTTATAAGATCATTTAGTATTGTTGATTCAAGAAGAAATGGGAGGGAACATCAGTGGAGTAATTTTGACCCTCCTAGAGCTAGATTAGCAAATATGTATCCCATTCTTGAAAAATCAAAGAGTTCAAAGAAACCAAAATCGCTGAAATATTTCTAAAAATTGCAATAAAAAAAGATAGGGAAAGCAATTTCAAAGTAAATATTGCATGAAGCTTTACCAACAAGAATTGTAGACTCTCCATTTCTACAGTTTGTACTTCAAGATGTAGCTGAAGTTGGAAAATCAGTTGGGGTCCTTCAGCTTATAAAGTAACATGAGTGTATTTGGATGAAGAGTACAAAAAAGTACAAGAATGGGTGAATACTTTAAGTCTATTTGAGAAGAAAGAGGTGTGATCATTATGTGTGATGGTGGAAAGTGATTAGAAATCAACATATAATCAATTTCTTGATTTATAGTCCTAGAGGTACCATATTTAAAAAATCAATTGATGCTACCAATGTTACCTATCATATTGATGAGTATTATTTTAATATAATGGAAAAAATAGTGGATGAAATCGGTGAATAGTTTATTGTTCAATTTGTTACGGACAATGAATCAACAATCAAAACTGGTGGTAAAATGTTAATGCAAAAGATAAGACACCAGTATTGGTCAGTATGTTATGCACATTGCTTGGATCTTATTTTAGAAGAAATTGGTAACAAAAAAAAGTGTGAAAAGTGTCTTAGATCAAGCAAAAAAGACCACTTCCTTTATATAGAATCATACATGGACGATTGATTATATGAAGAGGTATACCAAAGGTATAGAAATCTTACATCTTGGGATCAATAGATTTCCTACCAATTTCATTGATTTGGAGAGCATTGTTAGAAACAAACAAACACTTAAAGAAATAGTGATTTCTTCATAATAGAAAAGGTCCACATATGCAAGAAAACCAGCTGGATTATAGATGATAAAAGTCACTAACTCCACACAATTTTGGAAAAAAGCAAGTGATGTCTTAAAGATCCAAGAACCGTTGGTTAAAGTATTAAGGATATGTGATGACGATGAAAAACCAACTATGAGTTTTATTTATAAAGCCATTGACAGAGCAAAATTTGCGATTCAAAGGGATTGACGCTATTATCAGAAATATTGGGAAAAATTGATAGACGATGAAGTAAACAACTTCATAATGATTTACATTTTGTTGGTACATTATAAAACTTTTAAATTTAAATTGTGATATATTGTTTAGATATTTATTATGTTATTTTTTTTGTAGAATATTTTCTAAATCCACAATTTCTATACTGAGGCAATTCCACAAGTGAAGTGATTCGTGAAACTATAAATGGAGTTAGAAATGTCATACAGAGGATAAAACCCAACTTGAATGATCAAATTCTTGCAATGAATCAGGTATGTATGTTATATACTTAAATTTTTTTTAAAAACTCATAAATTATCATGTTTAAACTACTAATTCATTTATTTTTAGTTGTTGCTATATTGAGACAAAATGAATTCTTTTGGAACACCATTAGCTCAAGCTGCAATTTTGAAGACTAACCTTGGTAAACAAAAAGAATTTATCCTCTATAATTTTGTAGATAATAAAGATATTTGTATAATTACTTTATGAATTATATCTTAATATTTATGTTTTTGTAGTTGAATGGTGGATTAATTACGGAAATTGTGCACCGCAACTTCAACGCGTCGTTGTCAAAGTTTTAAGTCAAACAACTTCATCTTCAAATTGTGAGCGTAATTGGAGTACTTTTAGTTTGATCCATAGAAAGAAGAGAAATAAACTCAATCATAAAAAGCTTCAAAAATTGGCTTATGTCCATTATAATATGAGGTTAAAGCCGAAACACATGCAAAGAAAAAGTGCATAAGAATTAGAAATGAGTTTTAATTTGATTAATCTTGAAAATGTTTTTGAAGAAGATGACATACTAGATACATGGATTGAAGAGAGAGAGAATGCTACAAGTGATAGTGAACAAAATTTCTCATGGTTGCCTGAGGAGTTACTTAATGAAACTGATGAAGAAACTCAAGGTGAAGATATGAATAATTCACCTACTCCATCTAATGAGGAAAATGTTCAACTATCGACGTCAAGTTATGATGATGATAACGACGACGACGACGACGATGGTGGTGATAATGAAGGTACGTACCAACCAAAATATGGACACATTTATTATACTACTTTTCATGGATATCAAGGTACGTTCAGATATCCTTACGATGATAATTATGGTTTGTATAGAACAAATGCATCACAAAATAGAAGAGATGATGACGATAGAATTCATAGGAGGATGAAAGAACACTTTTATGATTCATTTGCAGATTCATCATCATATTGTTCAGCTACAAATGATAATGTAATTAGTGAATCATCTCATGGTTCTCATTCTTACCAACCAAATTCATGTTATCCAACAATCCACCTTACATTGAACAAAATTCAAGTTATGTATTTTTTTTTCATCATTTATCTTACAACATGTTTGCTACCAATGATGCATCTTATGATGCACATAATGTGATGTCTTCTTCACATGTAATAGGAAGGAATCAAAACCAAGACAACGACGAAGATGAAAATGCTTTAGATCCGTCACACCATTCATTTTGGTGGTGAACTGTAAGATATATTATTTTTATATTTGTAGTTATGTATTTTTTTCTTTCTAAGTTATGTAAAATGAACATTTTTATGTTACAATATAAAAATTTGATATGATTTAGTGATATTATTATATGTTATTCATTCACATTATAATTGTTATTATCCATTATCTAGTATGATAACACTTATATGGTTTATATTTGTTTTTAATAATTTTTTATCTATGAAATTAATTTTTTTCAAAATAAAATATTAAAAGAGTATATTAATATTAGTATATTAAAAGATAACTCTAAAATGTATAAATATAATATTTTAGATGTATTGTATTTTTGAGGAAGAGATCACGCCCGTGACAGCCACAATACGTTAGTAACGTCCGCAACATCCGCAACCGCGATACCGCAATTGCATCCGCATCCGCAACAAAATCCGCAACATCAATTTGGTACTATGCGGCCTATGCTGGATTCTACGAGATATGTAAGCCAAAGAAGGGGGAGAAAGTGTTTGTTTCTGCTGCTTTGGGATCAGTTGGGAACTTGGTTGGTCAGTTTGCAAAATCATTAGGCTGTTATGTGTTATGAAGTGCTGGTAGCAAAGAAAAGGTTTCATCCTTCATGTTTTAGTTGGTTTGGAGAATCTTAACTCAAAGATGTAACATTAAAATGTTTTATACCAAATTTTGTTTCTGGTGGCATTGCTTAGAGAAAATCTTGGCTTTGATGGTGCATTCAATACAAGGAAGAAACTGATTTTTAGTCAACTCTCAAGAGGTATTTCCCTTGTTATGGGGGATTTTCTCAGGAAAGGCGATTAATATACGGCTAATATACGACATTACCGGATATATTAAAAGATATTTAACAAATTCAGTTTAGCGCTACCTATTATGTTGACAGACTAATAACGTTTTAGGTAGAAAACATGAAAAACTATTAAAAAATTTGGTAATCGGTAAACTTTGGTTATCGGTAAGTATCGATACATATATATAAGTGTCCATACTTATTTCACTGTGGAAAACATTAATTTAAGGTTATTTTTTTAGTGAGTTTTAAGATATTAATTTAGTAATTATATACGTCTAATGGTTTATTTTTATGTTACGGTATATATTATTATTAAATTAAAAATAATAAATATAGATATTACATATTTATTATTATCTTTGGTTAAAATTGTTAAATTCAAATTCTAGATAATATTTTATAAAATATCAAAACAATCAAATAATTTTTTGTGTAAATGAAATTATTAAATTAATATTGTAGGTGGAAAACATGAAGCACTATTAAAAAATTTTGAAATATAAATTACATAACTTTCAACAAAGTTTCGATACATTTTTATAAAAAGTATCTATACTTTCAACATATCAGGTAAATTTTACCGGTTTTATCATAATGTTACCTAATATGTTGAAAGTATCGATCATTTTTTATAAAAAGGATCGATACTTTATAATATAACAAGTAAAAATATGATGTAATAGGTAGCGCTTATATAATGTAATAGGTAGCGCTTATATAATAAAATAGGTTAATTACTGGAAACATTATCAAGCACAATAACATATTAGGTACCACTTATATAATGTAATAGGTGGCGCTTATATAATGTAATAGGTAGCACTTATATAATGTAATAGGTAGCACTTATATAATGTAATAGGTAGCGCTTATATAATAAAATAGGTTAATTATTGGAAGTATTATCAAACACAATAACATATTAGGTACCGCTTATATAATGTAATAGTTAGCGCTTATATAATAAAATAAGCTAATTACTGAAAACATTATCAAGCACAAAACATATTAGGTAGCACTTATATAACGTAATAGATAGCGCTTATATAATAAAATAGGTTAATTATTTAATTTATTATTACAATATATTAGGTAAACGCCTAAAATATTACCAATGATAACATAACCAGTTATTTACTGTAAACATTATTAAGTATAATAATGTAAACGGTAAAAAAATAGGCGATACATATTACATTAAACTACCTACCGGATATGTTGAAAGTATTGATTCCATTTAAATAAGTATCGACACTTTTGGAATTAAAAAGAAAAACAGTAATAGCGCCTATAAACATCAAATACAATAAAACAATATTATTTATTAACAAATAATAATATTATTTTTAAAATATTAGAATAATTTATTTAATATTATTATGTAAATATTATATCTATAATTTTATAAATAAAAAATTATGATTATTATATTTTATTAAAATAAAATTATTATAAATTATATTTATTATTTTTTATAATAAGAATAATATCATTAATTATATTATAATGAGAGAATAATTAAACATATGTGTCGATACATTTTCTAAAAGTATCGACACATATGTTATAATTATAATATAATAGGTAAATTTAAAATGTAACCGATATACAACAATAACAAAAACAGGTAAAATTACCGAAAACATCATTATTTTAACAAAACAGGTAAAGCGCTACCGATTTTGTTATTTTTTACCAGTTTTGTTATTGTTGGGTATTTTACCGGAAATGTTAAAAAACATTGATGTTTTAGGTAGAAATAATAATGTTTTAGGTAATGTTTACCGGTTTTGTTATGCCCAACAATAACAAAACCGGTAAAAATAGACTTTTTAATGATAAAATTAAGAGAAAATCGCCTCAGTGACCAAAAAAAAGTTATAATATACGATTTTAACCAACTTTTTTTGGATTTGCCAAAATGACCAACAAAATCGCAACGCGAAATAAAAATCGCAACGCGATCCCCAGAATCGCAAATCAGTTTCCAAAATCACAACGCGATTCTTGAAAATCGCAATGCGATAGTACAAATTCGCATTGCGATTTTCCAAAATCGCAACGCGAATATGAAAATCGCAACGCGAACACATAAATCGCAACGCGTATCCGTAAATCGCAACGTGTATCCGTAAATCGCAACGCGTATGGGTAAATCGCAATGCGTATCCGTATATCGCAACGCGTATCCGTAAATCGCAACGATAATACATAAAATCGCAACGCGTATCCGTAAATCGCAACGCGATATTTAAAGCGCCATTATAATCGCTACGCGTATTTTATTTTCAAATTACAAAAAGAATATTAAGACAAAATCCCGTAATCGCAACTCATAACCTAAAACCTAAAATCACAACTCAGTCCCATCTCCATCTCTCACTCTCTACGGCGAAGAAATCCGTCCCCATCTCCGAAGATTTCCGTCCCCATCTCCGGCGAAATCCCTCACAACCATTCACGGTCAGAAATCCCTCACAATATTCAGAAATGGAAAATCAACCTCCGAGGGTTAATTTTTTAATTATTTTATTTTGAAATGTTTGCATTATTGTAGGTTTTTCATATTGAAACTGATGATAAGTTTACTGGTCATTTCAATAATAGATTAACCATTTCACTTAGATTTCATTTCGCGTTACGATTCTGTCGTTGCGATTTTCATTTCGCGTTGCTATTCTCTCGTTCCGATTTTCAAGTTAGTATTTGTCTTTGTCTTTGTTCTGTCTTTTGGTTGAAGTAATGCAATCCATTCAAGTTTCAATTTGCAGAAGAGTCGCAACGAGATAAATGAAAATCGCAACGAGAGAATGACTGTCGCAACGAGAGAAATGAAAAGCGCAACGAGAGAATCGCAACGCGAAATGAAAATCGCAACGAGAGAATCGCAACGCGAAACCAAAATCGCATTGCGATTTTCATTTCGCGTTGCGATTCTCTCGTTGCGATTTTCATTTCGCGTTGCGATTCTCTCGTTGCGATTGTCATCTCGCGTTGCGATTCTCTCGTTGCGATTTTCATTTCAACCAAAAGACAAAACAGTGTTGCAAATTTTAGTTTCAAGAATAAACTACTACTTTTTATGTTTATTGTTTTTGGTATATCTTCACAGTGTAGTTTTTGGTATATCTAACTTGGTATGTTTATTGTTTTTGTAGAAATTTTTTTCGGCTCAATTGACCTTGAGAAATAAAGTCGGCCTGGCCACTACAATTGCAAAGAAGCTTTCACCTGCTCAAAGACAATTGTTTGAGGAAACCTGCTTCGGGCCATGGCTGAGAGTACAGCATCCGGGTGGAGATGCTAATTTGACCCATTTGTGGCTTCAGACCATGACATCAAATCTACCCGACAGTATACAACGTGGTGAGGAAGAGATATGGTTTCATTTTCCACCAGCGTATACTTGTTTTGGGCGGAAGGAGTTCTGCTTAATCACTGGTCTACGATTCGGACACGATGATGTAGGCCGGTACACTCGTCATATCGCCCGCCCATCATGGTTATCCCGGGTTTTTCCGGATGAGTCAATGGAGAAGCCGAACCTACATGTCGACGACCTGAAGAAATTGTTTAATAAGAAAGCTGGTTTCACTCGGATGGATGACGTCGATGTTGTCCGAGTATGCCTTCTACTACTTGTGTATGCCGGCTTTTTAGGCAGAGAGGCCAGACAACCTATTCATCGGGAGCTAATAATATTGGTAGAGGACCTGAATGCATGGAATCTGTTTCCGTGGGGTTCGTATATATGGAAAGCTACCTGGACTAAGTTGTCGTCTGCCTTTGATGACCGCAAAAGTTTGCGGGGCGATGGGTCCAAATACACTTTGTCAGGCTTTGTTTGGGCCTTTAAGGTAAGAATTTCTATATAATGTTTCTAAAATTATAATTAATTATTTAACAATTACTAATTTTGTTATTATATTGTTTGTAGATTTGGATATTCGAGGCTTTCCCCAGCATGCGTACATATGCAATAAAAACGTCAAATGATATTCCCAGGGCTATTTCCTGGAAGAGGAAAACTCTGTTGGATTGGGAAGACTTAATACCATATGCCACAATAAATAATGTAAGTTAACACAAATACTTTCATATATATATAAACAAGTTATTAATAGTAGACGTTTAACTTTGTTTGAGTTTTTATATTTTAGGAGGCTAACATTCCATTACAAAGACTGACACCCACGGAGGAAGAGCTTGCCACTGATTGGTGGCAAGCTAGTCAGAATTTTTTTGATGGCACGGATGATGAGCAGCATCCACTTCCTCCAATTCGAGAGCCATCACCTCACCTAGAGCCATCACCCGATCGACCCGACTATACACCTCTAGAACGAGAGCCATCACCTATCCCGTCACATCATCGAGCCTCTTCTCCACCATCACCTCATGATAGGCGACCGGCAAAGATGCCACGACTCCTATCTCCCTGTTCTCCACCTCCACCTCAACGGGATGAGTCAAGGGAGTTACGTGATGAGGTCAATGCCTTGCGTGAGGAGATCGGTACTCTACGCGATAACGATGGTGCATGGCGTGTGGAGGTGTCAACTTTACGTGGTGAGGTTGCCGCTCTACGTGAGATGATAGTATCGTTGCAGAATGAGGTTCATACTCTACGCAACGAGGTAAGTTTAAGATTTTCCATATTTAACTTAATGATAAATTTACTCGTAATTTCACTTAGATTAGCCATTTCACTTAGATTGCTTAGTAAATTTATTCGGTTGCTGCCAATTCTGCTAAACTGTGTATTCTTTAACACT